CAGGTCTGAAACTGACTTGATTTCTTTTCAACAATAAATGAAGAAACGATACAAAGTCAAAAGATTTTGCAATATCCATATTTTTTCTGTAGAACATCTTTAGGTCCAAACAAAAATGTTGAAATAATAAGTGAAAATTTAAATAATTTTGAGCTATTGCAGATCTCTTTCTAAAAGTTCAAGAATATTTAACCCAGAGATGCCTTTATACAGTGCTTCATTAAGAAGCTCCAATTATGCTTTCAGTCCACAGATGTGGGTAAGTACTTCTCATTAGGTGCTCTGCACTCCCTAGGACTCCTAAGAGCCCCTTGGACGTATAGTTTCTGAAGTAAATATAAAACCACTGACAATCCTGTGCGCCTTTTTTCATGCTGCTCTGCAGGCGAGAAGAAAAATGAAGCTGCTAAATAATTTTCTTTTATTGTACATGTTTAGTTAGGCCCAGACAGTTTAATGCAATGCATTCTAACCATACAGCTTGTAACTTCAGCTGCATTTGCCCAGGCCAAAACTCATAGGACTTCACTATAAACTTAGTTTTTGGACACATCAGAGAATGGAGAGGGCAGAGGGGAACAAAATAAAAACAAACAAAACCTTAGCTGACCAAACATAATAGTTGTCTTAAAGCAAATGTTGAATGTTTCAAAAAAAAAAAAAATCTGGCTTTTCTGCTTCACGTATACCTTCTCCTGAGAAAGTCCATAAGGGTCTAATTTTCAACAACAGTACCACTGTTAATCTACAATCAGAAAGTCTCTTTCTCAGCCCCACTTCAGTCTTTACTAGCAATGATGAGCAACACCATTGTGAATGGCTATATCTTTTCTTTCAAGCTTTTAGCTCATTTGCTTCAATTCTTGCTCTAAAGACATACCTGAAATCATTCCTCAGCATTAATAAAGCCACTACTTGGACTCCAGAACATATTTAAGACAGATGCAATGGCTTAAATAAATAAAGGCACCATGTTTTAATTCAACCCAATACCAAAGTCAATTACAAATATGTCACACTATAACTTTTATTCAAGAGTAATTCAGAACCCCCTAAGATCTCTAGCAGGATGCACAAAAAGCTTCTTGAGTCAGATTGGCAGCTTTAGCAATCTGTTGGGTGAATCCAGCAGTTGGCTCTAATGGAACAGAAAGTTGCATGTTAAGGAATCCCAACGTGCTATATCCTTCCCCTCTGTCAGATGATCCAGAGAGATCAGAAAACTACTAAATTGTACCCACAGGTGTGGTATGAATATACAGTTAAAAGTTACAATCCAACAGTCATCTCTGAAAAGATTCTAAATCCAGTCAACTCAGAAAGAATTTTCTAAGATAAGCAGCCATATGCATTATGTTTCAGGGAGCAATATTGAGCTGTTAGGGTCCATGTAGAGATAGAGCCATTATAGCTTGTTCTGTCAAAGATCTAACTGGGCAATTGTTGAACAGGCTCGGATCTGAGTTAAACTATATTGCTCAGAGTCAAAAACAACATTTTAAAAAGTACTTACTAAAAATACTATTTGCATAATTTAAACTAACATTAAAAACCACTCAGATAAGTGTTTTGACTTATAAGGTTCAGTAAAGTTTTCAGTTTATATATCTCCAGATCAGACTGCAACAAAATTTCATAAATGGATCTGATTTAGAGGTCCTGTAGGATTCTTTTTAATCTGCAATTTTTTCCAGTTTCCAAAGCAGCATATTAAAACAACTAAGTCCTTTAATATTAATTTATGTGTTTCGTCCTGTGGCTGTTAGTGTGATTCAATTACATATATGGCCATAAGAGTCTAAAAACTTGGCATCTATTGGGTCAGAAGGAAACATTAAAAAAACCCTCTATAAATGTTTATAATCCATGTAATAATGTGTCTGAAAATGCATATCTACAGTATACAGAGTATACTATTTAATCCCTTAATTACCATCTCCACCCTTAAATTACAATAAAAATAGTGTACAAATATCTTTTAAACAGAAGTAAATGCTGATCTACAAAAAAAGAAATGAAAACTAAATTAATCCCAGATTTCTGTAATGATTACCCCCACTAAAGAGGCGGTGGGGGCAATTAGCAAAAAAATAAATATTAACTAACCTTTCAAAAGGTGTTTTTCACCATCGATTGTGCTCTCTTGGTACTCTCCTGTTCCCTGAAAGTAGCCCAGAACATATATTCTGTGACATTATAAATACCATGAAGTATATTGGGATTCAATTACATTTATGGTATTTGGAATGTCACAAAATGATGCACTGTGGGATATATTTAGTGAACCAGGAGTACATCACAAAGGGGAAAATAAAAATTAAAATGAAAAAGCATTTTTGTACTGAATGCCTCCACCAGACTGAGAAGAGAGGGCACTCCACCCAGAAATCTGGGATTAACTCACATGACACAAAATGGAAACAGCTGACACTCATGCACAAGAGAGAGGTGAAGTTTGAATTTCAGCTTGCATCCTGAATTCTTTGGCTTTTGTCAGTTTAAAAATCAGACTTTTAACATAAACATATGTATTTAGAATGCTATTTCATTCATTTCTTTAATGGGTAAAGTTTGCATGGCTCAGAAACGTATTTCAGAATTCCCATCACAAAACGAATCTATTAAAATTGCAACTCTCTCATCATGAGCATTGCTGGAGAAACCACTTATCTGAACCACCCAGGTCAGATTCTCCTAAAAAAAACATCTACAAACTATTTGCAACTGGACTCAGATCATTGTGGAGCACTGGAGTAGATAAAGCAATTGCTTTAAAAGAGGAAGGGGGTTTTTTTTCTTCAAAATCATGAATGCTATACAGACAACTACATGGTAGTGACAGCATGTTAGAGGGCCTCCACTTTGCAGTTCAGTGGTTTAATTTCCCAATATACGGCACAATTAGTTCATCTCTATCAAATACAGTAGTGTAGCAGAAACAGCTGAAAAGTGCTGATCACTGAGCGCAGACACAGATGAAAAGAGCCCCTCAATACAGGAAATGGCTGGAAACGATATACTGTAAATTAAAGCCAATTTTCCTGCATTTCCTGAAGGATTGCTCATCTCAGAGATTCAACAAATCTCTTATTAAAGGCCCAGAAGTGAAACTATAATTTTCTTGAAGTTTATTTACTTTTTCAAAGAAAATAAAAACAAAAGACAGACAAGGCATTCATAACAAACTAAATCCCATAATAAATAACAGAATCATCCTGTGAATATTAGAAAAGAGCTGGCTTGGTTTTCCCATTTCTTTTTCCAACTTTCAACTCATGCAAAAACAATATTAAGAGAGAAAACGTTAAGGCCCTAATTCTACTCTAATTGAAATCAATGGCAAAAATTTCAGTCATGTCAATGGTGTGATATCAGGGCCTGAGATAAAAGGAAATTTGACACAATTTTCAATCATCATCATTTAGTTATAGAATCTATCAGCACCATCAGACCTTGAAAAAAATGATGGTACTGTATACAGCCCTTAGGGTTGCAGTGGGCTTAACTTTTTTACCAGTTCATTAAGGACTCAATCCAAAATTCATTTGAAGTCAATGGAAATATTTCAATGGGTGTGGGATCAGTCCTTAAGCCATGGGCCTTTTTCCCCATCATTTCCAACTGTGTGTTGTGATCATGCATCCCACGGCTGAACTGTCAGAGGCATACGGTATTTCTCAACTCATAAGCCTCTTCTACTGCCAAACCTAACGTCAACACCAAATATTCCATTGGTAACTGTTTTTCTTTTACCATTTTTACTTGATTAACAATCTGAGACTAACGTTTTATTATTGCAGGGCAGGACCACCAAACATGTATGAATGACCCCTATAACCACATCCTTTCCAAAACAGAGTTGAGCAATCCCCATGCAACTTTTTTTCAGACACGCTGATGTATGACACCCATTGGCACTTTACTTTGTAGTTCTTTATAATAAAATTATTGTCCTTTAGAACAAAATACTCTGTTTCATATTTCAAACCTATGATTATCTGTTATTGTGCATTTCAACGGTTTCCACTGCAGATCTTAAAGGAGCTCTATGGATTCCTCTCTGTGTTATGCTTACCACTCCAGAGGCTGTATGTCTGTCTTTAGGGTTATGGCAGTGGGGAATGCAATTGAGTTTACACTATGAAATCTAACAAACAAGGGTGTATTCATCTCTTGAGCCACTTAAACCTAGTAAAATTAAAAACAAATGTCTTCCTGCTATAACACCACAAAAACCAAGCCCAAAATATGTGCTTTTTAATGCACGCTAGGACAATCTTTCGCTAACCACCCATTAGACGTCTTATAATACTTAGCACACACATTCTTCTACAAACTGGACTGATTTCTTCCACAGTTTAACTTGTTTTTGCCAAAGACACTTTTAGTTCAGTGTTGGCCACCCGCCTAATGAAACAATCTCTTTTAAAGCCTAGTCTGCTGTCTTTAGTTGCACAAGATGCGTCGTACTTAAAAACAAGGATAATGCAACCTGTGTTTAAGCCTTCAAAAAATACTATTTTAAAAATATCACCAGCAAATGTTAACTAAATATATACATACATATATATATACACACACACATTATTTATATTATCAGGGTGTAATGTTACAACTAAAATCTCCTTAGGATAGAGGATTTTTTTCTCTTATTTAAATATGTATGCTAAAAGAAAAAGTGAAATAGCTTCAACCTTCTCAAGAGTAAGGTCATCACTATGCAATAACCATACACTCCAAAGGCATTTTTTCCAATTACAGGCACTATTATTATACTTTTAATGGGTATATTAAAACAAAAGATTTAATAATATATTTCTATAATTTCTATTCAGTCAAATATCTGTTGGAGTTTTTAAAAGTATTTTTGCCTTTAGTTTCTCAAAGGACAACTCTGATCAGCACCAAGTATCATTAGTGAATGGGAAAACACAACTAAACAAGCCTTTCTGTCTATTGCGTTAGCATCACAGATTGAATCACAACTGAAACAAGAATACCTGTGTAAGAAGTTGTCCAGGTGTCAGATTATTGATCCAACGAGTATATCGTTCAGTAGAATCCAATGGCTCTCTCCTGACTTGGCAACCTATAATCTAAAACAAAATAAAAATCACAAACTGTCAAACCTTAGACATTCAAGCATCAGTAAAAGCATCTGAAGTTAAATAATTACACACAAAAATCCCTCCATTACACATTATTAAGGTTGCAAGGTCAGGCACTCAGAAGTTAGGAAATGCCAAAATTACAGTTACCTTGCAACCTAAATTCATCCCCCATGTGTGTATGCATTATGATACAGTCTTTAATTTACATTAACACATACTATTTTTCTCAGTCTCAGTTCCAGCTTCCACCCCCTCTCCTTCCCAGGCTATTTGTCCCAATCTATTCTTCACCCGCCCATGTCCGGCTCTTGTCCCCTCTGCATTCGACTCACACAGCTTCTTCCTCCAGGCTGCCTGAGCTTGGTGGGCAACAGGAAGGGAGGACATCATGGAGAGCACAGGACAGGCAGTCTCCATGTTCCCAGTCCAGGTGCCCAGACCAAGCATGGCCTGCAGCAGCCCAAAACTGCAATTGCAAGGAAAGCCCCGCACCATATGGACAGAACCTTTTGGGAATATAACTGTTAAGATACTGAGCATGTGGACACTGTGATTTTTCAAAGACTGATAAGTAGGCCTACCAAATTCACAGCCATGAAAAAAGGTGTCACGGACCATGAAATCTGATCTCTCCCTGTGAAATCTGGACTTGTGTGTGCTTTTACCCTATACTATACAGATTTCACAGGGGAGACCAGCATTTCTCAAATTGGGGGTCCTGTCCAAAAGAGAGCTGCGGGGGGGGGTCACAAGGTTATTTGGGGGGGGACGGGGGGTCGCAATATTGTCACCATTACTTTTGTGCTGTCTTCAGATCTGGGCGGCTGGAGAGTGGTGGCTATTAGCTGGGCATCCAGCTCTGAAGGCAGTGCTTCGCCAGTAGCAGTGCAGAAGTAAGGGTGGCAATACCATACCATACCATTGCTTCTGTGCTGCTGCTTGCGGCGGCTCTGACTTCAGAACTGAGCTCCTGGCCAGCAGCCATCGCTCTCCAGCTGCCCAGCTCTGAAGGCAGCAGAACCACCACCACCAGCAGCGCAGATAAGGATAGCAGTACTGCAACCACCCCTACAATAACCTTGCAACTCCCACCCCAACTCCTTTATGGGTCAGGACCCCTAAAATTACAACACCATGAAATTGCAGATTTAAATAGCTGAAATCATGAAATTTACTATTTTTAAAATCCTATGAATGTGAAATTGACCAAAATCCTATGACCTGTCAATTTGGCAGGGCCCTACTTATACCTTGACCAAATAGAGGTGGATTTTCACAGGGATGGCAAAAGACATAGCTCTTCCACAAAGGTCACCCCCCTGCTACATTTCAGCTTCCTGCTCCAATGCATGGGGGTACTTGAGCTTTTCAAAGAAAAAGTCACCAGAATTTTTTTTAAATTGGGCAAAACAATGTAGTTTTCCCTAGACTCATTCTTGTAAGTGTCTTAATAATTTTGGCTGAAATTTTTCAAAGAAAACTCTGCCAGATGCAAGCATCTGGTATGTAAAATTTCAGCCCAAGCAGTTACAGTCTTACAAAGTTATAAGCAACTGAAAAGAGAGTCTTATAATGGAGAGTATTGGGCAACCTTAATAAAAGGTTGTGCTATTAGCCCTGCCTATATACTGTAATATAGAGTGGTTTATATCACATGAAGAACTATTCTCTCTGAATTTAACAAGACAAATCAAAACATCAATATAGTAAAAAATCTAGATACTGTATTTTAATAAATTATAACTGTGCATTCAAGCAAGTATAATATTCCCATAGCATTAGAACAAGATTCTCTTATCTGATTCCCACTATGTAGCTCTACTGCATACGAAGAGTTTGTTAAGTATGCAGAACTCTTTGAAATCAAGAAAATTTTTGATTTGAGTGCACAGGTAGAGGGCAGAATTTTACAGGCACTTTTTAGTTTTTATCTGCACATGCATTAATGTGTATCCCATGGAATTTTATGTGATCATTTAATTGTTTGCTTTAGAAATCCTTGTTCAAATAAAAACAGTGGGAGAACCTGACAAAATCAAGTGGGTTGGAGAAGTAGAGAGACCGACAGCCCTCTCAGTTTACTAATCTGTGTAGGTCTCTGAGCCACCAAAAATGTTCTCATTACTCCACTAATTAATTATGTATCCAACAATATTGCTGACATTCCACACCTGCTGCACCATTCCTTTTCCAGATTTTGACATACTTGTCACTGTGGATGTGATCATGATTTGCACCAGAAATTAATACCAACATTGCAGCATTAGGAATTCTGAGCATCGAGTTGGGATGATAGGATTTTGTTTGTTTGAGGCTGGGAATACTTTTAAACCACTTCTCTTTTTATATGTTCAGAAGGAAATATAACTGCACATATTGAGGACTGCTGCCCTATTAAATACTTTGAACTCTTCTATTCATGTAAATGTCTTTAAATTCACACATGCAAGTGGCTGGGTTGGAATTGCTTGTGTGCACAGCCAGAACAGAAATAATACCATGTGATTTATCTGGCCAATCTTAACTAATCAACACTGTGTGATCACAGAAAACTTTCAGAGGGCTGTTAGCGATCAACCAACAGTTAATAAAATTCACAGAAGAATGTGATGAATAATTTTTTTAAAAAAATAACAAAATCATGATTTATGTACCCCACAGAAAGAGGAGCCAGAAGCTCAGATAAACTATTTGAATTATTTGTTCAACTCTACTTTTGACTTAGCACAATAAAGCTTGAAACCTCCTGTCAGCTCTCCCCAAATCAGAATCAAATAAAGAGTCCTAAGGGCCAAAGTTACAATTTCTAGATATTTTAATAATGCTAATTCCAATTTTTTTAAAATTAATATTGAATGGAAGTTTTCTAACTTCCAATTTTTTTGGAATTTAACATTCCATATTTTTAAATGTTTCACAAAAGTTGATTAGAAGTACATTCACACTATCTTTCTATAGAGGGGGTTATTTTTAAGCAAACTATTTTAAAGCTAATGATTTACAGAGGCTTTTGCTAGTATATATTAAGGCAAGATAGACTATCTTTCTTGCATTGTAAGAACTGTGTGTGGAAGTTCAGAAGAAAGCTGACAAAATGCAAAGTGCTGTGCTAACACAATCCTGCCTTTCTGAAAGGTATTCCATAACAGAAAGATAAGGAAGCTTAGCTTATATACACAAATACCCTGACCCTAAGCTCTACAAATACAAGTTAATGAACAGCTGTCATGAGGTGAGAGATTAGTATGGGAGCCCAAACTTGTTTTCTAAAAGATTGGTTTCCAATTAGAGAAAAATTGGTCATCTCCCCCATCCAGCCTGAAACCTCAGAGAGGAGCAGGCCAGGTTTTTTGTTTTTATTATTTCCACTTTGGACTGCTTCCAGCTCACCCGGACCATTACCAGCAGCACTCAAATGTGCCGTCTGTTTAAGACTGCTTCTTAAATCTGGAGCACTGTTAGGTACAAGCTCTCAGATAAAGGTGAGAGGTTAACATGTAAACCCCTAAGCTAAACAGAACTACTGGCTCAACTCTCAGCAGGACTGTGTGCGCCCTTTATTCCTCCAAGACAGATAAAATGAGTTCCATGAACTTTACTCTGTGTGTGTGTGAGATGGAGGAGTGGGGGATGTATCATATATTGAAACCTTTAAAAATGAGGTTCCACTGCTCTTCTCTTGAATGTAAGTATGTCATTTTTCATAAAAGTGAAGTTCGGCTCTGTGTCCCTGGCCAAAATTTCCCCTTCTTTCCATGCTGCTATACAGGGTGCTGTACAATTGTTGGTTGCTGCTGTCCCTCCCACCCGAATGCTGGTTGCATTTCAGTGGTACATACTGTATACAGTTTGTAAAATGTTTTGGATCCTTTTGGATGAAAAGGATCATATTAGCATAGAATATTTTTTATCCCCAACAAACAGAACAAGATTTCAAGAATTGCTCACTATTTCTTATTGTAACAAAGCAAAGATAGTTGCCAAAGCAAATTACTTCATTCCTGGTGGGCAAGAGAGGTGTACTTAACAGAACATTTTGAACTTTCATTTGAAAATAGTTTGGTTCAGGTATGGTTCTAGGGATTGGCAAAGTCTGGCTGAGGAATCTAGGCCAAGGCAGGCTTCTGAACCCTGTTAACCTATCCCACCTACATACCAGGATGGGTGGTACCACGACCCTCCCCAGAATATGAAATTCATCCTCTACCACATGTTCTGCTAACTCCTTGCTTAACATTGTAGTTATGTTCCTGAAAAATGCTACTTTAAGCAAAATGATGTTAAGTGAATCCAATTTCCCCATAAGAATTAATGTAACAGGGGGAGGGAGAGGTTAAGTTCCAGGGAAAAAAATTTCACCAGACAATTTAATATTGTACATAGCAATGATGATTGTGAAGCTTGGTTGAGGTGGTGGAGTCAGAGGGTGGAAGAGGGTAGGATATTTCCCAAGAAATATCTTACTGCTAAATGATGAACTAGCACTCAGCTGAGCCCTCGAGGGTTAACACATTGTTTTTAATGTAGCCTCACACTCTACAAGGCAGCATGAATGGAGGGAGGGGAGACAGCATGGCAGAGAGAGACAGACACACACCGTGTGTGTGTGTGTGAGCGTGAGTATGAGTGAGAGAGACGCGCATTGCCCCTTTAAGTACGCTGACCCCACTCTAAGTTCACTGCCTTTTTAAGTAGATCAGCAAGTTGAGACAGCAGCTGCTGCCAGCAAGCTCCCTCTGTCCAGAGCCCTGTTGTGTCTCCCCCTGCTCTATGGAGATGGGGTAAAGGAGCGGTGGGCAGGAGCCTGGGGGAGGGGGACACCCTGACATTAGCACCCCTCTTTCCCTCCCATTGTCCCCTGCACAGCAAGCAGGAGGCTCCCAGGAGCAACTCCCAGTCAGAAGACAGGAGCACCACACGGCAGTGGGGGTGGGACAGCTGAACTGCCCAGCAATTGATAGCCTGCTGGGCGGCTGCCGCACAGG